AAGTTCAATGAAAGAGCATGCACAAGGGAGATGCATCTGGAAACTGAAAAGGAATACAGGAGATTAAATAACCAGGTCAGATGGGAAACTAGAAACATCTTGAAACGCAAAGAACAAGAGATTGCGAAAAATGTTAAGGCAAATGCAAAAGTGTTCTGGAAGTATGTACAGACAAAAACAAGAACAAAAGCTAGAATTGCAGATCTTTACAAGGATGAGGAAAAAGTACAGAAGACTGTGAATAATCAAGAAAAGGCAGATGTACTCTCAGAGCAATTCTCACGAGTTTTTATCAAGGAACCAGATAGGGGGATATCATCAGCCAACAAGAAAGACGTGCCAGCTCTTCAACACCTGGAGCTAACCGAGGGCAAAATAAGAAAGGTGATTCAAAAATTGAAAAGACAAAAGTCTCCCGGTCCAGATGGGTTACATCCAAGAGTCATTAAGGAGATGATGGAGGAATTACTTCAGCCTCTGAGGATCTTGTTTGAAAGCTCTTTTCAAGAAGGAAATATACCTGAGGACTGGCGTATTGCATATATCACAGCTATCTATAAGAAGGGAAGTAAAAGTGAACCAGGAAACTACAGGCCAGTCAGTCTAACTAGTGTAATCTGCAAATTAATGGAGTCAATATTACGGGAAGAGATGATATCCCATATGAAAAAATATGGATTGTTTAGTAATAAACAGTTTGGCTTCATTTCCGGCAGGTCAACAGTCCTACAGTTGATTAGGGTACTAGACAGGTGGACGGAAATTATCGATGACAGTCAGGCTGTGGACATAGTGTATTGTGACTTCATGAAGGCTTTTGATAGAGTACCCCACAAAAAACTATTAGAAAAAGTATCTAGTTATCTCATTGATGGAAAATATCTTGATTGGGTAAGGGATTTTTTAACTAAGAGAAAACAGAGAGTTGTGGTAAATGGAGAAGTATCTGACTGGAGAGAGGTCACTAGTGGGGTCCCTCAGGGTTCTGTCCTCGGCCCCCTGCTGTTTGTCCTTTTTATCAATGACCTGCCTGAGGCAATTAAACACGACAGTGAGGTATATCTATATGCGGATGACACAAAGAGTTTTAGGAAAATAGAACGAGATGAGTATTGTGACATGCTGCAGGAGGACCTGGATGGGATCAGGGGTTGGACTGAGAAGTGGATGCTGAACTTTCATCCAGAAAAAAGTAAATACATGAGGATAGGAAGAACAAAAGTTGCTGACCAGGGATATCATATGTACACCACGATCAAGATGACCACTGTAGAGAAGGATATAGGGGTAGTCATCGATGATAAGCTGACGTTCTCTGACCATCTAGCTGAGAAAATCAACAAGGCTAATAAAATAGTGGGCATTATTAGAAGAACTTTTGTTCATCTGGATGCACCTGTATTCAAGGCTCTGTACACTGCTCTGGTTCGGCCACACCTTGAGTATGCTAATCAAATTTGGTGCCAATATCCTACAACAGCTTACAGCCCATATTTTGTCCAGAATATTTGCCTTGCACTCATTTCATACTTTTGCATTAATATTACTTAATACTATTCTTTCATTGTTTTCTTTTCTGTCTTGAGCTGCAGTTACAGTATTTAATTTATCTCAAAACTTTCTAATTTTCGTCTTTGATTTATCTTACTCCCTGGGGCATTGCTCACTTATAAAAACATGTTTATTCCTCCTTTACATTCAACCGATATCATTCTAATTTTTGCTTCCATATCCCGTTAATTTTTTTTTTTTTTTATTATCAGTGTTATAAGAATCACCCAACTTCTTTTCCCTTTTATAATTCTCACCCAATACACACCACACCACATCACATCTGCCCGTACATTGTTTATCTCTCTACGAGTCCTAACACATCTAGCCTAATATCTCTAAAATTTTACATTACACCTCCTATATTGCTAACCATTGAGAATAGGGCCCCAATTTGGTTAGGTTGACCGTGACATTGGGTAACTGGACTAAGGGTAAGAAGGCTGTGCAATTGTAATATATAAAGAAAAAGAGATGATAGTGTCAAACAAGCAAAGGCTGAACAACTGGGCTAGCACAACACAAACTGAACTAACTGGAACCTACTTAGCTACAGACTACCTTAAAGAAAATGGAGGTGGGGTGATCTTCTGTAACTCTCAAAGTGCTTTGAAATCATTGAACAGCCCGTCAGGTTCTATGTCTAAAGTTGTGTGTTATATTAAAAGAAATGTGATAACTGCCAATGAGAACAACTCTCGTATCGAATTTGTGTGGATTCCGTCCCATGTTGGAATTAGGTATCATGACCGTGCTGATAGACTGGCCAATGAGGCATGTAAGAAAGAAAATGTTGACCGTGACCTTGGCCTGTCCAATGCTGTACTTAAAAACATTCAAGTCAGAATCATGAACTCTGATCTAGAAGAACTGAGAAATGCAGAGACCTGGCAGTTGTAGCATGAGTAAATATGACAAATTTTGTGACGAGAGGTACCGGTATGGCCAGCATAAGGACAGAACCAGACAATGTGATGTAGCCGTGTCCAGAATTAGGCGAGGATACAGACACATCTGGCAAATTAGTAACGCTGTACCCATACCGGAACACACAGCATGTAAACTTTGTGATAAACCTTTAAAGCATACACTTGAACACTATATTATTGAATGTGACGCTGTCAAAGACTTCAGGCCATGTGGATTATTGTATCATGAACTTTGTAATTACTACATTGAATCGGGGGTGCTTGAGGACATTCTTGCTGTTTATCCCAAATTAGCTAGCCCACATTGATTAGTCTTCAATTAGAATATGACGTCCAATGTATATGAACCAATGTCTTGCATGGCAGCGTACAGTGACACCACCTACATGACTCTGACCTATATACACTGCTAATGAATATGATATATTTCTTTGTGTATGAACCTCCGTCCTGCGTGGCAGTGAGAAGTGATACCACCCTCAGTGTCAAGACCTGACTGAATTACTCACAATAGGCAAACTGTACTCCAAGCTTTGCCAATAAATTTGATTAACTAAAAAAAATCTACTATGGGGTGAGGGCAGGGTGCGAGGGCCCGTGCTGGATAGGGGTTAGGGGCGCGGTGACGGGTGGTGGGGACGGTGGGGGATGAGGGGTTAGGGGGAGGGGTCAGTGATCACCGCCTGACCCTGAGTAAGACTCCCGCCGTCTTTCCTTCAAGCCACAAGCCATAGCCGCACCACCCACCGCACTCCCGCCCACCCAAAAAAAACTCTAGCTTAGTGCGTTTAATCTACTTAATAAAAGGAGCTAACCCACTTACAAGATCAAAATTTATACAGTATATATCTGTATTTAAGTAAAGTCAGTAATGATACACATATTGGGAATTTTTGGGATATCATATTGAGTGCGTCGACATTGGTTTTATGTGTGTAATGAGCACAGAGATATTAGGTGCCGTGCACTGCCATGCACATATCTCCCTCCCGCACCAACCCTCCCTCTCTCCCTCCCTCCCACACCCACGCCTCCACCACCACCAACACTCCAATCAATACTTTGTAATCAAAAGTATTGTATGAATTAGTAGCTGGAGCCCAAACTGTCCCCGTCAATGCCTGGCCAAAGCTTAGGTTAGCTGCTCAATTCTCCCTTTGGCCTTATTTGTGTTCCGAAATGTTTAGTTCGTCAGTTGTTAATGGAAAACTTTTTCCTAAGTAAATTTTTATGAAGCACATCAGTAAATATATTCGGCAGTGTCACAAATGAGCAATAATGTTAACATATTGTCATAATGGGGAAAGGTAAGCTACACAAGCAAAATAATCTACACATGGAGCAGTGTTCTGGGCGCCAGTGAGCGACGGTGGTCGGTTGGCGGCCAGGTTGTGGTGGTAGGAGAGGGAGAGGAGAGGGAGAGGAGAGGGAGGGGAGGAGGAGGGTTACGATCATCGAGAAGATGCTTTGCCCCCATCCCACCCTCAAGATGTTCACCTCCAACACTCACACTCCTCACTAACCTTCCCTTCAATGAATGACTAAACCCTTATATTCTCCCCATTCTGTACGCTGACAATATAAAAATCATGTTACAATCACTTGAACATTTTTGTGTACTTCACTCTCCCGCTCGTTGCTGCGGCCGTCGACACATTTGTAAATGTTCCGGATTTCTGTCTCTTTGGGGCTATGCTTACACAGAAATGTTACATTTAGTGATGAAGCGATGATTGTAGCATGCTCTGAGACTACTCATTAATATACTAGCTAAGATCAGTTATTAACCGTTGATCACATTAGAACATTGCTAGAAATGGTGTAAACCCGTAATAAATGTTATCTAATTAATGCAATCATGATTTCTGGAAGCCCCGACCAGCTGCGACCGCGAGCCTCCCGCGAACATTTGACGCGTCAAACCAAAGACGGAAATGAATATTGGTAGGTTTTTATTTCGCGCGTCACCTCGCATGGTACACTAGATGGGAGTGTCATTGATCCGTCCATGTAGATGTCACTCAATATAAATTAGTGTTTCTAGAGTCTTATCAATGAACTGTCTCAATAAAACCCGGAGCCAAGACTGATCATGTCATTAATCTACTCATAATTTCCTGATATTCCTCACATAATAAGGGTTATTAGATATTTTAACAACCAGGAGAATAAACAATAAACGCATATCGAATTCAAATATACAATTAGCTGTATTTAATAATAAGATTTAGCAAATATAGAGGATAAAGTGGTAATGGCTTTGTCTGGCGCGAGGGATAAATGTGACGTCACGAAATTTATGTTCTGAACACCTCGAAGTCTCCCAAAACAAACCAACTCTTCTAAAAAATTATTACCTCCCCATTTAACCCACTAATACCAAATGATTCCCAACAAAATTACAATCACAGAACAATAATATTATATAAAAACAAAATACAGTAACTCAAACCATGAAGAATAGTTTTAATAAGATATAAAATAATTAAAACTATCTACTTAGGTTATTGTTGGAACGCGTCTACGGAAAGTGAGAAAATGGCGTATTGTCAGAGGCACCCATCACGTTGATTGTTTTAGGAATAGTAATGAAAACTCGGGATAACAAACAACTGTGATGTTTATTTGTTAAAAGAAGTGTTTATGTAGTGAACTGGGGTCAAGATGGCTAACAATATGTACCGTGTTGGAGGTGAGTTAGAGGTGATGGTGGTGTGTGTGTGGAGGCCAGGTCTCTTACCCTCTCGCCGGTCCCTCATAACAAACAACTATTACAACTAATGTAGATAATTGGAAGACTAGTTATTTTGATGCTTAATGACCACTGACCTTGTGAGAGACGAGGGATAGGGGCCTTAAGGACATGTATCACACTGGAGAGGTGGAATAAGACTGTTTGTCAATGTAAACAATCGGAAAAGTGGAAGGGTTAGATGAACGTGTGTATGTGTGTGTACATGTGTGTGTATATGTGTGTGTATATGTTTGTGTGTTCATGTGTATGTGTGTGTACATGTTTGTGTATTCATGTGTATGTGTGTGTACATGTTTGTGTATTCATGTGTATGTGTGTGTACGTGTGTGTATTCATGTGTATGTGTGTGTACATGTTTGTGTATTCATGTGTATGTGTGTGTACATGTTTGTGTATTCATGTGTATGTGTGTGTACATGTTTGTGTATTCATGTGTATGTGTGTACATGTGTGTGTATGGTGTATTGTATATTCATATGTGTGTGTGTTATTTGTGTATATATTAAAGTGGGGCTTATTAAACATTACCTCAGTGGCACAATTTGGTTCTTATAAATATGTTAAATGATTTATCAAATTGGCTAAACAATACTATCTTGTTTTAGCCTCAGTATCACCTCTCATGTCAAAAAGCATAAACACATTTAATTTTTCAACGTTTTTAATTATTTTTTGATTGATGTCACAGTTGATGAAGTCAGATGATTTATTTTGGGCATCTAAAGTTATGAGACTGACAGACAGTGTGAGCTGGGGCAACATGAGGTCAAGATGGCTTAATCCAGTCATCCTAGGGCAGGCTCAACTGTTCCACAAGCTGGTGAAACAAGTTAATGGCTTATTTTGGTGTAACATTTTCATTAAGCAGTTGGCATTTATGGAGGTCCATGACTATCGCCGCTGTAACCAACATAATGGGTTTGCTCAGTGCCATCTTGATCATCATATATAAGAACATAAGAATAGAGGAAACTGCAGCGGGCCTATTGGCCCATACTGGGCAGTCCCGTTTACACCCGACACCTATCGCTCATATATCCATCTAACCTATGTTATGAAGCTATCCAGTGTATTTGAGTTAATGATGATATTAGGTAACTTGTTCCACTCATCCACTACTCTATTTTCAAACCAATGTTTACCTATCTCGCATCTAAAGCTAAATTTGTCTCAATTTAAAAATCATTGTTATGAGTTCGCTCCTGGTTGGATAGTTTGAGTACCTTTGTTATATCGCATTTGTTAAGCCCCGACTTACATGTCATCGTGCTACACCGTGTTGAGAGGAGATGTGTATGTGAATTTTAACACACATGTCATGCCACAAATAGGTTTCACTGAGTAATTCTCAACTGCATGTAAATATGACTAGGAATCACATACTGGTTCACATTATTAGTACAGTACAATGTGGTAATTTCCTCCAGTTCTATATAAATAATTGTTGTTAATCCAGGGCTTCTATTGTCAACACTTAACACCTACAGTACGCTGCTACCTCAGACTCGTGTGTCTCACTTAATAGGGGAACTGTAGAATACGCCTTAAAACACAGTTTATGTTTATACTAAATTCGGGAATTTTGTTTAGTTTATTGAAATCACTTGTTAGAAATTAGTTCATTACTTCGTGTGGTAAAATTTGCCCTCTTAATTGAAGGTGTTTACAGTCTGTACTATCATAACCAAACTGTACCTTAATATAAACTATGCTGTATAGTACAGTACAGTATATATAATTGGAGATAAGTGTAGATTTGTTTTTGATTTATTTTTGTTTTAATTCAAGGTGAGCTTTATACAGTACTGTACAGGTATATGGATGATAATGTGGGTAATTGTGTTTTCAAATGTTTTCATTCGTTCTCTTCATCATTTGTTGCTATAAATTTAAAGGGCGACATTAGTGAAGATCAATGTTTACAAAATGCTGTGCTGTGCCAGTACTGTGGTGCATGATGTACTGTACAGGTATTATGTTGTACAGTGATATCTCCGTTAGCCGGAACAATTGGTGCAGAGCACTTCCGGGAATGAGAGATTTCCGGGTAACGAGACGACTCTGTCAAAGCCGGAAAAAATCCCACGTCCCCGGAATTTTCCGGGTCACGGAAAATTTTCTCGTAATTTTCCGAAAAATTCCGGCTTTGGGAACGATTTGCCGAGAAAATTTCAATTTCGGCTATTGGAGAGTTCTGAGTTTGAGGGGTTCCGGCTAATGGAGATATCACTGTACAATATAATAAAGATGCTTCTTATTGATATAGAAAGTTCATTAGCTAAAACATTCTGAACATTGACTGTAAATGAGACTGAGGAGCTAAACTTGCTTGATATTTACTGTACCCTGGTACATACAGTAGGTATTACAGTGCTGTACAGCAGATATGGGCAACCTGTGGCCTGAACCATGTCTTTGTGTGGCCCGCGGAGTGATTGAAAATTCTCTTATATGTGGCCTGCAGTTCAGGTAGATGCAGCCAGTTTATGGTGAGTAAAACATTTACTAAAAGAATAATTTTCAAACACAATTCATTACTGTTTCATCACATAAGAGTAAGTAACTGCAAAAATGTAGCAGTGAAATAAGTATAGATAGTCAACAATATAAACATTTTAACTTGTGTGAGTTTAAGGGCCAAGCTCGGCACTTTAACTGCTATGTGGCAATGGGTCACTTGGGAATTAACTAAGGTTGGGTAAGCCCAAGTGGGGTTACGGGTCAAAGGTAAAGGTCTCTTGTTGACAGTCTGTCTCTCTGCATAGTACCTCATCCTTCGTGCCTGTTTTATCTTTATTCTTGTCCCATTAGGTCTCTCCATGGGTTGTTTCATTGTAGGTCCTCATGCGCCAAGATTAACATTGACATTATTCTGGTGGGTGTCTCTCATAAGTAAGAAAAAAACTGTAACTGTAGGTAAATTAACATTAACATTTTACTTAAAAAATTATAACGATGGATTTGTTACATAAATGGGTAAAAGACTGATTGTAAATTGAAAATATCTTAAGGTGGACATGCAGGGGATGATTCAGGAGGGGTCCAGGGTCCGGATCCTCCCCTTTTCATAAAAAAATGCCAATACTTTTTCTTTAAAGCAGTATTGTACTCGGACATTTTTGTATAGTAAAAATTAATAAGTATTGACTTTATCCTTTTGATATTTCTGGATCTGCCCTGACGTTATGATAAACTGTTCCACTGTCCATGCTAACACAATATTACTTTTGGGTTAGGTTGGATATAAATTTTGATGAGTTGGCCCACAGAAAAATACCTAAATTGTAATGTGGCCCATGACTGAGGAAAGGTTGCCCATGCTTGCTGTATAGTATAGTATAGCTATTAATTATCTTTAAAACGGAGAAAGAAACAAAGAGCTCTTAAAAACTAGTAAAATACACCAGTTTATCTACAGTATAAGGTACCGTATATACCAATGCTGTACGTACATTATATATAATTTTGTAAAGTTATAATCAAATTAGATGTGCGAGTGAGCGGCCACCCATGGTTGGGAGTGTTGGAACATGGCCAGAGAAACACAAGTAAGAGGGAGGGACAAGGAAGCTGATGAGGGTTTTTTTTGTATGTATATTTTTTGTTAGCTATGGTACTGTACTTCTGTTTTGGATGGTCCTCTGAAGATGTATTAGTACATTATACATTACAGTACAAGTACCTGTACTGTACTGTATGTTTTTTTTTCTGTTTTTTTGTTCCCTGGACATTAACTTCTCATGGATTAACACAGTATTACCTATTTCTTCTCTTTTTTAATTTTTTTCTGTTCAAATTTTTTCGCCCCCTAGGCCCCGTTTTGGGTCGTCTGACCTGTTCTTTGGTGGGCTAATTCCCGTAAAAAAAAAATCTTCTCATGGCTGTGATCAAAGTTTATGTTTGTGCAAATAATGACAATTAACACTTCAGATTGTGGTGGACTTTGGTTAATTTTTTCACATCCTCATGAGTTTAATCTGTCGTTACATTTTATCATTTTTAGGTTTGTCTTTACTGTCCTGCTGTTCATTTTGATGTACTACAGTACAGTAGGTCTTAACATGCTGAATCATCGAAACTCCCCAATCTTTCTGGATGATCATCTTCAGTTTTTATGACATTTTACCCATGTGCACATCTCATCTATGGTTATGATGACTTCACATAAAAGTTCTGTCCAAATCACCAGTTACTTTACTTATGAAATTATTGTTAATTGAATATTGTCATTTTTCACACATGACTGGTTGGTAGTTTTGGTAGATATTTTAATGCAAATAATTTTTCTTTGAATATTCTAAGTTGCAATTTGGAACTACTGTACTGTACCTAATTCCTACTTGGAGAACCTGGGGCTTAACCTGTGTTTTGCATATACACTGTAGTGCAGTATACTGCACCTGTGATTGTTATAGTGGTAGAGACACTATGTTGGGCTGTTGTTCATTCTTCAGATTTACAGTTATCAATACTGTACTGTACTACCCTATCTCTTCATTAATCACAGACTATATGTAATCACACTTGTAGTACATTATATATGAAAGATTATCTGGATCATGTCCAATATTAAAGTGTGTGTTAGGTTCAAGTGAGAGAAGAGAACTGAAAATGCAAAAATTGTGTCCTTCCAGGGATGGATTAACTGTCTGATCAGTTACCAAGTATCATGAGATTTTACTGTGAATAATAAACTGTACAATAAAGTACTTATATTAACTGATACTGTACTGTACCAGGGCCTTCTGTTTAGCACAATTTATTCTTGTTTCTACCACATTTACTGTGCAATACCTGACTGCTTTGCATCGTGGCATATAGGAGGAACAACTGTTGTATTATTTTGCCCATTTACAAATAGTAAAAGCTAATGTTTTCTATAATTTAAAAACTACAATATTTGGACCCCAGCTACACTTTATTATTGGCTTTGATTA